TCCGTCGGCCAGCCAGTGTAGTACGGGCTTGGGAGTCTCGGTTGTACAAGGTCGAGTACTCTGCAGAAGCTGCAGAGTGTTCCTGGGACGAGTTCCCGCAGCTGTCGGCCGTCAACCTGGCTGCCTACACCCCCACCACAGTTACACCAGGGGAGATCGAGCCGAGGTACTCCGAGTGGTTCGCTCGGGTTTCTCGTCTGAAGCTGTTGGGTGGCGATCCCACGGAGCCTCCCCCAGTCCCTTCGCGCGTCGATGCTTCTTATGTAAGTCGTTTATTTATTTTATTTTTGTTCTCAATGTGTGTTTTCATTATAATGTTTATTTAATGTAACTCTTCTATTTGTGGATAGTGGATAAAGCGTTTCGACGACGTCCACTCTGCGTACATATCGCGGTTTGAGCGTGTTGATCCTGTCTTGACGAAGGAGTATGCAGACGCTTGGGCCGGAGTTATGTCAAATTGGGATAGAGCGACGCAGCGTTGACGTTTCGACGATGTTGTTTTTTTTATTTACTGTACGCTCGACTTTTGGTTGAATTGTTGTTCTTTATTTACTGTACGCTCGACTTTTGGTTGTTTTATTTTTATTTTTGGGTTTACTGTTGGGTCGGTTGTTGATTGAGTTGTTTTTTTTATATGTCGTTATTCATTCACATTATGTTATAATTAAAAAAATACATCAACTCAAAATCGAAATCAATGAAATAAACACGTTCAAAATAACGAATAATCACAACCGAATATAATAAGAATATCAAGACTTAGGTGCATCACGAATCCTGATCCACGCATCTATTCTACTGTTGTAGTAATTCTCCCAACTGTTAACCGACTTATCTCGAAGTGACGTCCAAAAAGAGCATATATGCGGTATTGGATGGCCGGGCGCCAAATTAACACGAATGTAGTGTGGGTAACAACCAAGGTGACACAAGACGATCTCTCGCTCGGGGAATGTAGTCGTAGATGGTGCGACGAGAGGCAGTACAGTAGAACTATAAAAGGTGGGATTGTTACCTTGGTCACCCATGCCTAACAAGACGACAACTGCATTAAAAAATGTGACAACGAGAAATAGGTCGCACATAGTTTCCATCCAGTGGTTACGGCTACAAGGGCCCCCGTCCCAGCGTATTCGATTGAGTGTTGCGTCGATCCCGTCATAGAAGATTGGCTTCTACCTCGGAATATTCCCCGCAATCTCATTTGCAATAATTTGTCTTACCAACCGGTACTTCTCCTGGTCACCAAAAATATAGCTCGCAATTGCTCGGAATCCGCAGTTCCCATCGTTGGCCACATCCAAGTAGCTCTCTACGTAGTCGTGCACAATGTAGGGAATGCTATTCCAATACCGGTAACCGAAGAAGTCTGTCGAGAACGTCTCTATAATATCACAAACATTTCACGTCAGAATATATATAATTGAATTTATTTATGAACATAATTCGATGAAGTGATTAAAACACAAAGAAATTAATTTAGAATTCAACCTGTCGGTCCTTCTGAATGCTGAGAAGACGAGCTCGTCGGTGCTTGTGACGAAGTGCTTTTACGGCCAACCGGACGACCTCTTTTCCGGTACTCCCAGACACATGGATCACGTTTCGTTGAATTTCTCTTTTTCGGTCGGCCTCGCGTGTTTTCCTTCACCTCAGGTTCTCCGTAACCTTGTTGGTCAAAGTAAAAAATCATTAGTGTTATATTAAATGTGAGTGTTATATTAAATGTTTTTGTGCAATTTTGAATAGATGGACCGTAACCTTGTTGGTCAGGGTGAAGCTGGGAGTAAATGTACTGATTCAAATGACGCACGGTCTCAGGATTGGCCTCTTCGACCTCCTCCGCAAGGCTCCGAAAATACGACAGATCTGTCCACCCAATCGTCGACGATCGTGCACCAGTCGTGGATGGTCGTGCATCACTCGTGGATGGTCGTGCACTACTTTGGGCATCTGTTCGTACCACCAAATTTAAAACATTAAACATCATAACCTATATATAAATTATATATATATATATATATAACAGTACGTGAAGTACAAAACAATAAACGAAAAAAAACATTCAATTTAATTTCACAATTATACCTGGCACCTCAAGTGTTATCCAGAACTCGTGAATGTCGTCTGTGGTAATTGGGTTATTAGCATTGCACGTCATACTCATGTAACAGGCACAAGGAAGTCCATGCATCCATCTGAGTACGCACCCGCAGCGCGTCGTAACCTCATCGCTCAAGTCTCGCATCCTCTTATACTCTTTGTTCATAACTCCAAACAATAATGTGAGACCCTCAGTGTTAGCTGAGAGAACGGAAATCTGGTGTAATGGTAACTTCGTTTGTTCCGGCACTCCTCCAGCGTGACCCTGATAATAGATTGCAAATAAAATTTATATGTTATATGTATGTGTACGTAATATTAAAAATCAGAAGTTAGATGATAGCATATCAAATTTTATATATTTTATCATTAACAAAAATCAGCGATGTCAAAATTGACTGGATAAAAAAATTTTGCAATCTTTATTTAGTATGAAAAAATTGACTGGATAAAAATGAATATTATTATTATAATAATTGTGTTTGAAAATTTAATAAAAATTAAATAATTAATGTTAGTAAAAGATACTTGTTTAATGAGTTCAAACAAAAAAATAAATAAAAATCACATAAATAGTTTGAAAAAATGTTTAAATTATAATACAATTTAATGTGATTTTAGATTACTTATGAGTAGTTGTTATATAATAAAACTGCAAAAAAATATAAATATTAGATACATGATTAGCACAATAAATATGTGTAGCTTAATAAATTAACGTACCTGGTTTGAGTGTGTTGAGACTCAATCTCCTTGTGAGCCTTCTCCCACACTGTGTCAAGAGAACCGGTGGACTTGTTAAGCCATTGTTTCAACACATTGTGGGAACTCTCCACCCTACACGACGTGGTGTTACCCAAATGCAGAAAGTTATTCGTCCACACTTTGACAAATTTTTTCTTGTGGACTAACCACGTATCCTCTACGTACTGTATAACAAGAGAGAACTTCTTGTACCGAAGCTGCATGTCCTTCACGGCAGTGTCGTACTCGACCATCGTGCTCGCTTCCATGATCTTCTTCCACCGACCACGCGTGAACATCTCGGCGAATTGACTATTTTTTTGGGTGATTTTATAGACCCTCTGTTCTACATCCTTATTGATGTGCCACGTGCAAAGAAGATGGGCAGACAAAGGAAAATTAATCATAATAGGATTAATCAACCCCATCTCCCTCTCACTGACAATGACTGAAGGATGTACATTAGACCCAATCAGATCTCTCAACCGCTTCAGAACCCAGTCATAGCTGTTCTGACTCTCGTCCTTCACAATTGCATATGCAATCAAGAAATTCTTGTTGCACGGCGTCATCCCTATAATTTCCACAAGCGGCATCTTGTACCTGTGCAAATGAGGGCAACAAAATCAAATAAAGAATTAAAAAACGTACATACTCAGACATAATAATTAAGATTCGTACTCAATTGCTATTTATAAAGTAACGTACCTGTTGGTTTTGTACGTCGAATCTATACCGACGTACCAATAATATGTCTGAAAGAGAAGGGCTGACTGGGGATGGGACATGAACACACATGTCAAGGTGTGTGTGTGCTTATTAGAATCGGTGAAAATTATGTAATTAGCCCGGCTAGCCAGATGCATAAGCTGGGAAGTCACATCTCTGCCCTCGAAACTCTCTGATCGGATTTTAGCCCTATAGTTGTAAACCTGTTGACGAACCGCGTTGTCAGACGGGTATTTCTCCTGTATCGCTGCCAATATTACCGCTGGTCTTGCCTGGGCAGCTGTCATGTCACGGACGATCTGTCTCGCCTTTTCACTCAATCCGCTGAACTGTCGACGACCCTCGGGATACAAAACCATCGGATGATTATGGTATCCCTTCCGGTCATCCAGAGGAAAACATACACTCCAAGAATCTTTCGTACCGACCACTTTTTTCAATTTAATCTCAAACAGGCATCCGATAAATTTTGTTTTCGACTTTCTCAGGACAATATTAATAAGATTGGATATTTTATTACCTCGATACTGTTCCCCTCGGTTACACTTCAGAATCCTCAATGTTCCTCCCTTTGAATGCTTTAAAATAATGAGTGCAAAATCACAGATTGTTGCCATACCGACTGCATAGTTAACAACTTTTTGAAGACTATCAAATATCTCATCTGTTCTGAAAAAAATCCAATAATCAACATTATCTCCTCCAAAATCCTCAACTGGCGCCTGCAATAAATTACCAAAACATAATCAATTATATGTTACCATTAAAAAATAATAATTTATATTATATTATAACAATACATTTTAAAAATATTATTACTTTTTTTAATAATAATATATATATGACTACAAATATTTTAATAATTATATATAATTAAAATTATATATTTTCGTATATATATAATAATTATATATATTATATATTTTCGTATATAATAATTATGTATATATAACTAATAATTATATTTTTAATATTATAAATATTTAATTATATTTTGAATATCCATTTTTAAATATATAATTATATTTAATAATTATT